AGAGAAAAAAAAAGAAAGAAAAGAAAGACAAAAAAGAAAGAAAAGAAACAAAAAGAAAGAAAGAAAAAGAAAAGAGAGAGAAATGGTCAGAAAAGAAAGAAAGAAAGAAAGAAAGAGAAAGAAAAAGAGAGAGAGAAATGGTTAGAAACTCCTAAGGAATGAAATAAAGAGAACAAAGTTCATTGAAAAAGGTCTTTTAGGAGCAAGACACAGAGGTTTCCCAGAAGCTGGAAAAGGCAAGCTGTTCAAGGCTCAGAATGTGGGTGCACATCAGAAGGGGTGCAGAGACACAGATGGGTCAGGGTAGAGCAGGGCCCCACCACACAGCAATACTCCATCAGAGCTAGGTCGCATTCTGGCTGCTGTGAAGTCTACTGAAAGCTTAAAATTTAAAAAAGAAAAACTTGAAGTTTGTTCGCAGATAAAGGAGCTTAGAATACTTCACGAGATAACTATCCTATGCCAGTCTAACCATAAGAAAAGATTAATTCTGTACTGGCTGTGAAATTTATGGAAGGGCGAGAGAGATCCATAAATCTTATAGTTAGAAAACTAAAGTTGCTGAATGTACTGAGGGGAACTTAGAATAAAAACGGAACTCTGGGAGAAGAGCTCAAAGGAGTGGACACCAGGGCTCCAAGATAGTCGAGTTGTGCCAGTGAAGGAGAAAACCTCTGGATGTAAGACTAGAGAAGCTGTCAAGCCAGATACTCATGCGAGGTTTCCTCCTCAAAGGCATCACTGAAGCACTTCAGACAGGCTCTTTCTAGTGTTATAAAAAGGGGCTCAGTGTAAAAAAAGAGAATGCTGGAGTTAACATGGTGATCGCACCTTCTTTCCTACCAGGAGCTCAAATGCAAAAGACAATGAAAGTACTACCAAAAAGGGCCAGAATAATCGATGCACCCACCCTCCTGACCATGACCTCCTGGGCCCAGCTCCTTTCTGTGAGGAATTCGACCACTGTTGAGGCCTTTCATAACCAACAGAACGAATGCCCAACAAGAGAGACTGGTAAAAAAGCAGAAGACAGCTAATAAAAATTTAGAAAGGAAGACCATCCAGTAGGTTGTTGAACCCACTATTTTATTTATAGAGCACTGATATTTTATAGCCTTGCTATGTAAGATGTGGTTCTCAACGCCAGCAGCACCAGCATCCTCTGGAAGCCTGCTAGAAGCGGAAAATCGTAGGCTGCTCTGTAGACGTGTTCAATCAAAGATCCCTGTACGAATCACAGGCACGGCGACATTTGAGAAGGGCTGCTCTATAGAACTGAGAAACTGTTCGCGCCACAAAGAGGGCGCGGCCCCTCTTCATAATGCAGTGGACACACCCTTCTCCCCTCCCGCACTCAGGCACTGCTGTCTCAGCGGAAATCTGGCGGGTCTGCCAGATGCTTTCCCTTAACAGTCTCAGAATACCTGCGTGACTTCGCTGTCCACACCACTGTGGCTGAACTTGATTAGATACTAGGAAGAAACGAATATGATTATCTCATGAAAGCACTGTTTCACGCACTAAAGTGTGAAAGGCCGATCTGATTAATATTCCCAGCAAGCACTGACATTTTAAAGGAATTTGTTAATTTAAATGGATTTCTATTGGGTAATTTACAGGAAAGAGTTACTTTTCAGCAGGGAAGGCTTTCAAGCATTTATTATCCTACCCACTGCCAGAACAATGAATCATCAAAATCCATGTATGGACCAAACATTGTTATAATAAACCACATTCCATCTGAGTAATAGCAACAATGGTGCTGAGAGGTCAGCTGAACAACCGAAGATTAGATTATATATTACGTTTTATACAGAAGTGTAAGAGACGGAAGGAGGGGGTAAAGAGGGATGTGGAAGGGGACAGAAGTAGAATTAACATGCGTTATGTACATGTATGGTACTGACTCCCTGGATGAAAGCAGTCATGTATTGCAAACGTACCACTAATAAAAAAATTTGATAAAACGTATATGGATAAACAGAAGAGAGTTAGATTTAGGATTAGAAAAACTGAAGGAGTATATATAGAGTTGGATACTGAGATGCAGTGAACTAAGAGGGAAATGAACAAATTATATGCTCTACACTAAACAACGAGATGATCTCTAGAAAAAAATATAAGGATCAGGCACAGTAGTGCACATCTGTAACCCCAGTCCTAGGAAGGATGAGGTTCAAAGACTGCCTAGAGTTCAGGGCCAGCCTGGGCTACACAGTGAATTGAAGGTCTGCCTGAACTACATTGGGAGAGTCTGCCTGGAAAGCAAAACAAACAAAATGAAACAAAATGAAAGGAATTTAATATAAGGGGGAAATAAAGTAAATACAAACCATGCCCTGATTGGCTGGCTCTATCTAGAACTTAAAAGCGAATCCTAGGAAATGTACTTAACCATAGCATTATGCTTACAGAATTGAAGAGGCACTTGTTTACATGCAAAGACTAGCTTCCAGCAGAATTTTCTAGAGTCAAGCAAATTACACCTGGACAAAGTCATAAAAATTTAAAGGATCCCCGATAAACATGAAGTAAAAAAATGTTTCTTTCTAAGCATTCATATTGGGTGAATAAAGAGGTAGGTGAGGTTTAAGAGAAAAATATAACAGTGGTAAAGAGAATTTTATTTCAGGGCAAAAGAGAATAGAAAGTTGGGCAGGGTAGCACACAAAATAAGAAAAACTATACAGGCATAAACCTATTCAGATCTGAACAGCTAAAATGTTTAAGTTTTTTAGGGCTTTTTTATCTGCAAAATGGGTTTTAAAAACTTACCTTTTTTTCAAGATTGTTTTGAGGACTACACAAAAAGTACAGCATTTCACTCAGTAATACTTGATTTTTGTAAATATTTGGTTTTTATTTAACTCCAAAGAGAATGAAAGATGGGTTATAATAGCACTTTGAATACAATAAGATTTAAGGTATAATGTGGTTTTTGTTTAACTCCAACGAGAACAAAAGATAGGTCACAATAATATTTTAAACACAGTAGGTATAATTCACAGTCAGTAAAAATTCTAAAATTATAAAAGAGTGAGGAAATAAAAACTTTATGTCTACAGCCAGCCCTTTGCACCTGCATTCACGGATTTGTATCATAAATCAACCAACCACAGAATGAAAGTATTTGAAGAAAAACCACATCTGTACTGAATCTCTACAGACTATTTTCTTGTCAGTAACAAAATAACTATTTATAAACAAAATATAAAGAAAACAAGATTTTACATAGCATTTATATTGTCTTGGATATTATAAGATTATAGAGATGACACAGTATCACGGGTGGTGTGATTTTTCATCCTGAGGCCTTGTGCTGTAACTTCACACAGTTCCGAGCCATCAATATTCATTACTTGTACAAGGGCTCTAGATCCACAGAACCTGACACCACCACATATACTTGTGTGATTTTAGCTCTTCGTGGCTCAGTTTCCTCACGTGTAAAACAAGAGTAATAGTAATCCCTGTATCTCACATGTTTCCCATTTTATTTCTTGTTGCCTGGGTGACTTTTAAATTTCACCATTTAACTGGCAGGAGTCCATATCTTCATCTCCCAACGCTAAGAGCACAAGCCCCAAAGTTGCATCTTTAACCAACCACAAGCTGTATGGAGAATGCTATAGCTACGCAGCACCTTTAGGAGGGGGTTTGAGGATAGGAGGAACTTCAGGACTGTCTTTGTTGGGGAGAAAACTGCAATTTCTTTCCCTTGACCCCATAAATAATCTACTATTTCTTAGCTAGAACTTTTCATATAATTTTTTTTTCTATTTAGATATGTTTGGGTCTTTTTACACTCTTGCTCTAATTTGTTTGCTGTTATCATCTTTAAAGCAATTATTTATACAGCAAGGATGAGGTATGCACTCTATAAAGTATATTATACATAAGTATATTCATCTCCACTGTATAACCATTCTTATGACCTCATATGGATAAACCCAGACTTTGATAGATAGATGAGAAAGAGAGAGGGAGAGGGAGAGGGAAAGTGAGAGGGAGAGGGAGGGAGAGACACACACACACACACACACACAGAGAGAGAGAGAGAGAGAGAGAGAGAGAGAGAGAGAGAGAGAGAGAGAGACACTACTATATCCTAAGTGTGGATCACACTTATCAGTACTTATTCAGTAAATTAATTAGCATACAACTAGTTGACTGCTAGTTGTCCACCAAAATGTGTTCTTTCCATTCTAGTCTTCTTTTACAGAAACCCTAATTTTACCTGGGTATGTTCATTTTAATCTTTTACTACATACTTATCTCCCTTATTTGAATGTGAGCTACTCAGGAACAAAACCTGTCTTCTTGGACCTTTTCCACATTTGTAACACAAGGTACCAAGTGACACCTTATGAATGCACTGAGTGAATGACAGCATTTATTATTCCACCTGTTTTCCTATTTTGTTTACTCAGTATACTTTATGAGAGAAACCACCTCAATTTTCAGAGGCCTTTGGTGTGGTATTCATCAGAGACCACTTCATGCTTCTCTGCTACACGTTAGGCAATGACTCATCTAAGAGCGCACTGACGAGGCTGTTTATGTTTGCTAAATGGGCTTTCTCCGATGCGCTTCCTGTGGCTGTGTTTTAGTGACTCTTTATAAATGCTGATTTTATAAAACCGAGATCCTTCTTCACCAACCAGTATCTAGTAGCAGCCTCCTACGGAGGTACTCTGGCAGTCTGACTTCCTGAGGATTACTTCACTTCCCGCCCGCCCTGCAAAAACTGGATGCGAGCAGGATGAGTAGAATCAGTGTGCGCATCTTGTGAACATCCCTCCCTCCTATGTCACCCTTTCTGCTTGCTGAAATGCAGATATTCTGATGAGAGATCTTGGATACAGAAAATGCTTGACAATGACAGAGCAACAGGACTGAAGCATCTGGGTGCCTATCAAAGTGGACTTCACATCTAAACTAATACAATGACAAGCACATTACTGCACGAGGTTACACTCCTCGTATTCTTCGTAAGCTCTGCCTGAAACCCACGTACCGGGACAGTTAGAATTATGCTAACTTCACTACCCCCGCCAAGTCAGTCCCGATAAACTGAAGGCAGCGAATTCCGATCTACATGTGTGGGGTGTGTACCCCAGGTTACATTCATGCCTCCTTCTTCTCTTTTCATGGGTAGAGATTCAAATGCCTTACTTTGCTTTGCCCAGTGTTGCCATGGCAGATGAATTCCACCTATTGAGCACTAGGACTTAGGGAGATTCTATCTATTATCCTCATTCATGACACAGACAAGCACGCCAGGACAGGGAGCTGCTATGACACAGTGTGAGCCTGAGCTCCAGCGGAGGATGTGAGTTTTCTGCGAGCCTATGTTTCACAGGAAGCAACTCTTGTCAGTGCTGAGCGCCAGGCGGCTGCAGGGAAGGGCCAGCTCCTTATACACACTACCAGAGAAAGCCAACAACTTGTGTGATTTAGTCTACCTGTCAAGGGGAAGAAACCAGAGGTCCCACAGGAAACTGTGCTTCAGTATAATCGCACCCATGGGAGCAGGAGGCAACTCATCCTCCTCCTTTTTGTCCCAGGTGGTTCAGTTCATTCTATCCAGAGGCAACAGGCCAACCTAGGTGTGATACTCTGTAAAATAAAAAGGACATATCATTCCTTTGGAATGACACCTTTAAATATGTCCATTAAATCAGAACTGCACACCAAAATGTCTACAGACCAAAAGTGAATCTAATTCTAAAATCCGACATAAGTGATATATATTCTAACAGAAATAGTGTTTCCTGCAATAAATTGCCTAGTAAAACAGGGGTTAAGTCACCATGCTGTAGATATCAAAGAGAATTTAAAGTAAGTTTTTTTACATGTGATCATTAAAACAGCATAGGCAATGAACTGTAATTCATTCCTAAAGTAATAGGAAGATTGATTTAAACCAATAAAGACTAAAATATTCTAGGGTTGGTATAACTTTATTCTCTTTCATCTTCCTATATTTATTATAGTAGTCTACTTCTGGGAGGATAGCATTGACTTTTAAAAAGTGTTTTAAGTTAAAATAAAAACACTGTTCAAGTGAGAAACTGAAAAGGAATTATAGATATAGCCTGTGGAACTCTGGGGAGTTTTTATTATCAGACCTTAAGGTAGGAATACTGGAGAGGAATCTGCCACTGGACAATTTCACCTCCATCACCCTGAATGTAATGGAGGGGAAAGGAGAAGAGAAGATCGAGAAAAATAAGGCACACAGAGTTTGGAGAGAGTAGAGAAACTAACAGAGATACGAACGCTAACGTGTTCAAACTACCATGGAAGACCAGTAACGAACACAACTGGTGAACTGTTGTGTCTTTATGCATTCTCCATTTTGTACCCACTTTCACCCCCGGCCTTGTGCACACCCTTCGGAAATAAAAGAATTTTCAAGATTATTCTTCCAGAAGAGAAAAGTGTAGCCCAGAGAGCAACTACTGAGTTCCTAGTTTCATGGTACCTCAATACTAACCTGGCCGAAAGCCTCCTCCTTCAGGCCTCCTTCCTTCCTAACTGCAGGGAGCCCCTCAACAGTGGAGTTGGGCCTTCTCATCGGTATTTATGAGGGAATGTTAGGCAGACACTCCACGAATGAATACAGAATTAAGTAAGAATATGGATTCAGGATGGGGCGATGCTTTCATTAACCCCAATAAGAAACATTTCATGGTTTGTTCAGTTAAAATAAACAGATTTAATTTTGGATTAATTTACCTCACACATAAACTTGACAAATTTGCTTTTAAGTTTCACATATAATCTGAAAGTACCAACAACACGTGTCACAAAATTAAAGTCTACATTATGATCCAATGGTGGAAAGTAAAATCTCAAGTGACTTCTATAGCTTCACTTCAATTTCGAATGAAAACACAGCACAAGCCATCATGAGTAACTATTAATAAAGCCAACAAGTCATACATCTAAAGAGCCCCAGCTAACAGATGTGGAAAGGAGAACACTAGATAGTTATCCTCACTAGTAGACCCTTAATTTTTTCAACAAATCATTAACACATGCACTTCTGTGGGGAGAAAATATTTATCCATATTATAAATTTATCCATATCCATATTATCTTATAAATATTATAAATATATATATTTATCCATATTATAAATCCATATTTATCCATATTATTAAAAATAGCAAAGCCTGACATAACTATTTATGATGGTTAGAAGCTTCTATTTAAGGTATACTAGGTGAAGGATCACAGCATGCAATAAATTAAGTGAACTATTTGTGGTGTAAGCACTTCATCAAACACTAAGATCTTCCTCTACCTGAAAGTCCCATTAACCTAATGTTTTCAGGGAGACAAAATTCACATGCATATCTAAATGTTTTCTAGCTTAAAGCATCAAACAACATTTGGTTTTGTAATAAATTAAACCAAAGACATTCTGATAAAGTACTCTCCACGAATAGTGTATTTTTCAAGGACAGTCATGTGTTTCCTTTATTTAAGATCTTACATGCCTAAGAAAAAGGACCTGTTCTCACAACAGTGCCCAATGCATTATATGTAGTTTGATGACATAATACAGATAATCTTAGTTGCTGGTCATTATGAAGACAATTATTTAGATACAGGATCATAGCTTAGTAGTGCTGTTTTCTTACACCTATTTAAATGATAGCCATTTCTGTGAAGCTTCTATTAAACTATCACTTATTAACTACACATTGTGCCTTTTTAGATCAGGGTCTAGGAAAACTGCAGGGAAATATACGAAGCGTAACTATGACACTTACCTACAAGAAGGTTGCAGTCTTACTGGAAAAAAAGTAAAGAACCCATTTTTAAAAATTGTATTATGAAAACCTAGTGTCTTATATTTCAAATAATGAATGTAATACCTATTTCAAAAATGAATTTCAGAAAATAAATCACTTATTTAATATGTGCTCATGTTAAAACAACAATGGAGAGCTACAGCTCTAATAATAGCAAAAACTTCTCTGCAGAGTATTTTAAGGTTGTCTCTAACCAGCCTTGGACTAGCATTATTTATCAGTGACCACCCTCCCTGCTCACCATACTGTGCACCACGGCCAAAAGAGAACACTCCCTCCTTCCCAAACTCTTTCACACTCTCCACTTCAGCTGACCTTGTTATCCAACTCCACTTCTCAACGTAAAACAATTTTCCTACAGCAAGGTAACTCGTATTTGCCGACGTCTGTGTCCTCCTCCTCTACTGAGGCACGTGGCGGAGACACATTTTCCAACTCCTCCTGTACTTCGATGTGTCCATGTGTCTGGGCCGAGGAAGACAGAATGTGAACAGGAGCGAAGGGTGCTAGCTCTTGGTCTTGCCTACCCAGATTTCTATCTGTCGACTTCTCATTCCACCAATTTGAAAGAGCAAAAGAGACAATGGGAGGAGCCTCTGCCCTTAATTTATTCTGTAGAGCAGAGTCACCTTCCTCCCTGCTGATCCTCTCTGGGCCACTGATCCGCGACACGAGTGAGAAATAAACTGCGTTATGCCACTGAGATTTGGAAGTCTGTCTCTTATAGCAGCTAGCCTTATTTACTTTAGTAAGTCCAGTTAACATTTAATCATCGATCAAAGTTTCCTTCTCTGCAGAGTCTCCTCCATCCCTCCAGTCCGAATTAATCGCCCTTTTCATTGTGTTCCCATAGCACTCATTATGCGTATTTATTATTTATTGCTGACTAAATAATTTACAAGCTTATGAGCTCCTGAGGGGTAGATGCGTTTGTTCATCTGTGAACCCTGAACACCTAGCCCACAGTAGTGCTCAGTGCAGGTTTGCCAGAAGTTTTCCGCTGACAGTATTGGGGAAGGTTGCACTGGTTTAACAGAAAGCTTATACCTAACTTTTATTGGGAAAACATTTTTTTTTTTAATGGTTGGTGAAAAAAGACTCCTGGATCCAGCAGTGCATTCAATTCACACATGAATACCATGCCTGAGCAGTACTTCCCTGGAAAAGTGTGGTTCCGTTCTTCTTCCCCTTCCAATGGTTCACGTGAGTCATCAAATCCAACCACCGCCACTGCGGCTCCTCTTGCTCTGACTCATAACGCGCCCTCAGGGCTTAGTGACAGCCTGCTGGTAAATAATTACGATCTGTTGTGATTTTTCAGAATAGTTTTGCTTTTCCTTTGGACAAAGGAAAACAGACTGACGGATGCACACATCTGGTACTCAATCAATTGTAATCTAGAATTTACAAAAGGTCTACAGAACAAAGGCAAAAGAAAACAGAAAATACGACAGTGCTGAAATTATAGTGTATACTGTCGAAGACTGAAACAAAATCATACACTCCCAGGGAGTTCGTAAGTATTAGGTGTCTGCTCCCTCCCCAGCTGCACTGCCACGATGCGGTTTCCTGAGAATTATAGATGGGAGGGGACAGCCACATACGCACACACAGAAGACTGCGTTAAGTCTCCGTTATAGGTAAAGAGAAACAAAATTTTTTGTCCCTATTCAGCTTCTATAGGCCATCAGAACTCCCAGCAGGGGCAGACAGCTGTTACTGCTCCTCTGCCTTTCCTGGACTGCAGGTGTGGAGAATCTTTCCCAAGGCAGGCAGTGCACTCACAGCTTGGCCAAGTCAGGACACCTGTCATCAGGCACCTTATAGTAATGGAATACATACCCAGTAATGTCGGGTACAGCCATCTCTCATTGCACTATATAAGGCATAAGTGACTACAACTCACTATGTTCCTCTTTCCAGAGGCCAAGAGGGCAAAGCATGTGGGAAAGAATCTTAAAATCATGATCGATATCCAGCCAAGGAATAACCAATCAGTGGCTTCTAATGGGGGACACTGTAACACGGAAGTCCTTAGTCAAAAAAAGGGTATAAAGTAATGATTCTGTCAGCTTGAAAGGGAACAGGGGCACGTACCGGACACAAACCTTCTGTACACTTTCCTTCTTCCCCTGGCCATGCTTCCTCCCACCTCGGGCACTAAGTTTCCCGCGCTAACATCATCTGCCCTGGAAGAGCTGACTGTTTCCTTACAGCTGCTGCAGGGCAGTGGGATCCATCAGCCACACAGCTGGAGTTTCTGGTTTCGGCCACCCCTAGGTGTCACGGCTGGCATCCCATGCAACAGCTAGAGAGGCCCAGTGCAACGCGGACATGGGGGGGAGTTGACTTCCTGAGTCTGAGCCCCGAGAGAGAAGGAAGAGAGCTGAGCAGATACGTGTTTTCACTTCTATTTTAGGCGCTATCCTGCAACATCTGTCCAGAAAAGTTCCACATGGCGAGTGGATGCAGTTGCCAAGCAACTGGCTGTGTTCCTTGGTGGTCCTCGGTGACCAGTTCTGGAACCATTGCTTCCCTCTGCTTTTCTTGCCTCCTTTTCTCCTCCCCATTTTTTTCAAGTTGTGGGAAAACACGCCTAACACAGAACCTATGCACTTAGTGATGCTTACCTGCACAGTTCAGTAAGATTAAGCATGCTCACATTGTTGGGCAACAGCTCTCTAGAACTTTTTCTTTTCGCAAAACTGAAACTCTATGTCCTTTGAACACTACTTATAACCCTCCACATAGGTAACCACTGGTCTACTCACTGTTCCCAGAGTCTGACTACTTTAGAGATCTCTCTTCAGGGAAGTCACACAATATCTGTCGTTTTATGACCCCCTTCCCTTATTGCTCACCTTACTGACCTGGGTTTATATATCCCAAATAAAGTATACTCCAATACTTGCCTCAAGCTAGTTTTCTAGAACTCTGGTTATGATAGTGTCCTGCGTAGCTTGGATATTATACGTACTTTACAAACATGTATCATATAATAACATTTATCTCATGAGAATCCTTTCTGATAAGTACCTGGTCATTATACTACACGGTGTTAATTGTAGATTTTAAACCAGCAATGAGAGCCTCAATAATGGTGGTAATGGTGGTGGTAGGGGTGACAGTGATGGTGGGGGTGACAACAGGGTGGTAGTCAACCTTTGAACTCTTGAGGCAAATCAGTATTCACTCTTAATTCTGTATGAAACAGTCATATATTTATACATATATATATATATGCATATGAAGTAATCATATATATGACTTGTTTCATCACCACTTAATGACTGAAACTATCAAGGCTAAGAACTTGACAGAGGCCATAAAGTCAGGAAGTGACAAGGCTGGGTGTGACCCTAAGCCCTTCTGCCCTCAGAGTCTGTCCATTAACTATGTGAGCTGTAAGTAACTGCTTTTGTCTCACACAGGCAAAGCAATCTGAGCCCTCCTATGAGCCACAAACTTTGATAATTGCTTCACATACATTTTTGTTACTTTTACAGCCCTAAAACAATTCTATAAAATGAAAAAGCTCATTGATGCATAAAAATTTTTCTCCATTACTTTCCCCAAAACAAATCTAGCAAGAAAAAAAAATAAACTTGCCCATATATTTTATCACAAGCATAAAACAAAATTTATGAAATGTGTAAGAAAGAAATGATATACACTTATAAATGTACTAAATTTGGGAATATAAAAATAAAAAAATGCTCCTGAAAACAGAAGAGCATTGTGAAATTAGTTTGGAATAAAAATGCCTACCCAACAAGGCTTTAAATGCTATAAACATTCTGAACATCTGTTTGATCTGGAACTTGTTTCAATGTTTGTGCTGCATTCTGTTAGGAAGTATCCATTTTTACACTCAAAACTAGCCTGGGGCACCTCCATGACTTTGAGCAGGCTATCGCATACTGTAATTCATGAATGCTTTAAGCTCTAAAGAACGTCTGAAATTATCACTAAGTATAGGGTGGCAAAGGAGATAGGTTAAATTTTATTAGATGCTTTAATCCATATGCTAAAACTGACTTGATAAAATGCTATCTGCTTCTTGCTTTTGTACTCCATGAACACAGTCATTCGTGCTTGTGGGCTCCTTCCTTTAGAGCTTCCTCCACCTGATCCCTGCCTTCTTGACAGCACTGTAAAAGATCCTGTATAAGGCAGCTTTCTCATTGCTGAGACCTAATACCCAACACACACAATTAAAAGAGGGAATGTTTATTCTGGTTCACAGTTTTAGTGGGTTCAGTCTACAGTTGGCTGCCTCCAAGGCAAAAATGGCACGGGCCAAAAGCCTGGCAGAGGAAACTGGCAGCCTGGAAGTAGAGAGAGAAAGGTGGAGCTAGGAACAACAATACGCTTTTCCATATTATAGGCACAATGATGCACCTCTTCCAATCAGGACCAAGCTCCACAGCACATTTAGGTACTGAACTCATAAATGGATATATCCACATGATCAGGTGCAGTCACGGCAATAACCCCACTCTTGGTACTAATTTCCTGTACTAGTCACTTTCCCGTTGCTGGAACAAAATGCATAACACCCACAACTTAAAGAGGAGATTTAACTTGGCTCGTAGTTTCCAGAGGATTCAACCCATGGCTGTGTGTCCTCAAGGCAGAAACAGCATGGTGAAAGAACCTAGCAGAGAACATGTGCTCATTCCATTTCAGCCAGGAAACAAAGGAAAGAGGAGCAGAGACAGGAATACACCCTTCCAGGGTGTGCCTCCAGTGACCCACCACAGCCAGGCTCTGCTTCCTAGCAGGACAGGGCTGGGGTCATCTGTGGATAAATGCACTGGTGAGTACAATGTCCCCATGATCCAGCCACCTTCCAAGCACATGAGATTTGGGGGGACCGAACCATCACAGACCCGTGCTTAAGTTCTACTTCTTCTCCATCCTAAACATCTGTATAGGTAGGTCTTTTGTACGTTATTTCCCTACTCAAAAACGTACATGGATGCCCCTTCTGCCTTCCAAATACATACATCTTTGGCATCCAAACCTCCACTTGTCATTGTTGGGGACAGGCCCCATTACTCCTTTGCTCTGCCTTCTTTCTGCGCCTGTTTATGTTTTCCTTCCATTTAAAATAAGACCCCACTGGCTTAGCCTCAAGTCTTCCCAGTCCTTCAGAACCCTTCTTCGCGGTTCCAGATGGCACAAATCCTGCTCTTCCTTCTCAACTAAATGTGACTTCTGTTTTTCTTCGATCCATGCCCTACTAGGACTTTGACTCTCCCACGATGTCAGTTAGATCTGCTGCACATCATCTCCCAACTCAACGAGAAACTTTTAAAGACAGGTTTGTTGCAATTACCTTTTCTTTGGAGTTTCGCATGTAGCAGGGTTCATTATGTTTTCAGTGGGAGTACAGGCTGCAAAGCTTCAATCTTTCATTATTTATAAGAACTTTTGGTGTTTAATGAGCTGAATTTTGAAGGAATCTTGTGGCTGGAAGATTACAACCTCAACTTTCCTGAGTCTCCATGTTTCATTCAGCAACTAAAGTAAAACAAGATGGCAAAGGTGGTGCAGCAGGGAGGGTGTAGATCTGTCTGGGCTGGATCCTGGCTCTGCTACGTCCTAATGATCAAGTGAACTTGACAGGTTGTTTTGTTTCTCTTTGCCTTGGTTTTCTCATTTAGAAAAACAAGAATAATATTACCTACCTTAAGGGTTGTTGAGAAAAATAAATGGTGAACATCTGTACGGTACTTGGCTCCTTATGTGGCACATAATGAACTAAATCAACATTAAAACTGAGTCTCCATGTTTTTGCTCTTTTCATGATGTCACATCCTATTTTGAGATACAACAGTTCTAATTCTTTTTTGACTTGGAGATTTATGGTTGTTAACCAAGAGCTTTACTTTAATTGACAAGGCACAACTGTCAACAAGGAGATTCTTGCATGTAGCCAATTTACCTGGTAGGAAGAATGTTTCTTGCTGCATAACTGTGTCAATGGTTCCCTTTATCCCTGGTCAGAGAGGCTATGAGGGCAAAACCCCAAAACCTTCGTCAGCAGAGCTAAAAGTGAAGAAAGAGGGCAGGGGGCTTGAAGCATGTCTACAGACTTCATTTTTCTGTTACTATCAA